CCCCCCCCCCTCTTCAGCCTGTCATATGAAGCTGAGGAATTAAGCACCACACTCCCCTCTGAGGGTTCATCTCTGCTACACAGGCTAAGGATCAAAGTTCTTCCTGTTCCTAGCTCTGACTTCATCATGCAGTTAAAGGGGCCCTCCCGTCATTAAGTAATACACTTCCCTTAATAGTCTAGTTGCCAGCTCCTACAGTCCTATTGTGAACCCGGAAATAAGTTGTGGTGATTAGCATTAAATAACATGTGGACAATAGTTTAGGTGAGTTTGGTGGTTATTTAGGATACTGAATCCATTTCTTACATTTTCAGTATCAAAAATGGCAGTTTTGTGGCCATATTTGTACTCTTGGTGGGATGATTTTTATACCTTTTTGGTCGATTTTAAAGTTTTAGGGAACTCTGGATTCATTGGATTGGACAGATTACTTACTTACTTGAAAATTAATTGTCCACAGTAGAGGTGATCATTTTCATATCGTGCTATCTATATCCAATGGTCAGCCCACTTTTTTTAGTACCCATTTGTGTGATTGGAGTGCTACTTAAATGCACTTTAATGCTGTAAAAACTCACCATGTATAACAAATAAATAACAAAGGTACCAACCTTAAACACAAACATTAATTTCCACTACTTTACTAAATAAAGAAAGAATACTAAATAAGTAGCTGTTGGCACCTAACAATTTTTCCTTCTGTTATCGGATAACATGATAACTCGGTGCAGCCTTGCAGACTTTATGGCACACTCCCTCTTTTAAACTTTGATTAAAAACATGAAACATTGGTGAAATATAACCAGCAGCGATGGTTTTCTATCCATGTTATCTAGGCTTGATGGGTTTTCACAGTTTATGCCTTTTGAAGTTTCTGTACTAATTTCACATTTACCTGCTGAAGGTTGAATTTACAGTCACGATTGAAACGCTCATGAAGCAGTCTTTGATTCATTGTTCAGTCATTTTGTTACATGATACTATCAATGTGACTAGAGTGCTTCTTAAATGGACAATAAAGTTGAACAAACTCATAACTAGCAAACAAATCAATCAAAAGAGCCTTTTTCAATACTCAACCAAACACAAGAAGAATACTAATAGGGCTGCTATTGGCACCTGACAATGTTTCCCTTTGTTTTGGGATACAAAGATAACTTGGTGCAGCCTTGCAGGCTTTATGGCACACTCCCTCCTTTAAACCTTGATTAAAAACATGACAATTTGGTGAAAAATAGCCCTAACTTAAATTGTTTCTAATCCAGGTTAAAAATGTCTTTACAAGTTTGACATTTACTTGCTGAAGGTAAACATGTATAGCTGCTCTTTACAGTATTGAATTTGTTGTTCAGTCATTTAGTTATGTTCTCATTCCATTTCCTGTTGTATTTTTGGAGACAGTTATGTGATTTTAATGCAAATTGAATGGACTATAAACCTGGACAAACCCCAACCCTAACCCGACCTTTAACCCTAACAGTCAGAAAAGGTACCAACCTTAAATTCCAGCTCCATGGCGGTGACAGACTCTCCCGCAGAGACCTGGGTGAGCTTCTGGATATGTGCGTACAGGTTTCTAGCGGGGACTTCTGTGTTGCCACATGTTGCAGCTTCCAGCAGGGCTTCATGGATGAATATGTACTGATCCTCCGTCTGCACCATGTAGTTCCTCTGAGACCGCATACACGTCACATGACCGTAAATGTCCACAGACTTCTCGTGTTTCATCCTCTCCAGCATGGCTTCAATCACAATGAAGCAGCCAGTACGGCCAACACCGGCACTGGCAGAACACAAAATGATTTATTATTTAGAAACCCTGGATCCCAATGTGTTTTTTAAACAGAGGTTGAACCACAAGGAAGCTGAAAAATGGTTTTCAAGGAAACAGCCTCAAAATATTTAATCATATAAATGTGGATAATGGCACACATTTTCATAATCACTCCTAAAATCTATTCAGATAATGATTGGATAACGAGACACAATTGATCAAGTTAGCATTATAGGATTAATCTCAGCGGTGACTAGCCATTTCTACTTGCTACAGATTCACACTATGTTAATGTGATTTATGAAGTAGTAAAATCTAGTGATGATGTTTGGTCTTCTTTGTCAGCAACTCCCGTTTTTATGGATCATAGAAGCTTAACATTCACCAGTGGAATTTTTTCTGACAGATTGTGTTAACCACATAACTTATAGCAGGCGTTTAACCATAAAAACTTTCAAAAATGTATTTACTTTGAGATTAGTGAACCGGAATTGGTAAAATGCTAATGGTCTCATACCTGCACTACTCTATAACTCAATGGTCTTGCTTTGTAAGATATTGTGTGTTTCATTTAAATGCTTATCACTGAAACAAATGAGTTTTGTAAAGAAAATTATGCAAACAAAGAAAACAGTCACATAATACCTGCAGGACTATTCATTATGTAATGCAGGCGTTAAAGTATATTGGATGACTTGACACACTTTGATTGAAGCATACTGAGGCCTCAGTGTTAATGTAAGCTTACCTGCAGTGGACCACCATGGGCCCAGCATCTGGAGGGTTACAGGCCTTGATTCTGCGTAGAAAGGACAGTGTGGGGGTGGGATACTCAGGCACTCCATGGTCCGGCCAGGCCATGAACTGGAACTGTCGAACCTCTCTCTTCTCACTCGAGCCGTTCTGTCGGAGAACACATTAAGACATGTTTCATCATTTATTTAAGCCAGGGTTATCCTTATCAAGGCTTCCACTTCATTATTCTGTCATTGTTTACAGTCTGATTAGCAACTTGCGACGCTATATGGAGTTGGAGTTAAGAGACAATGTTAAGACACAATTACATAATTGTTTTATAAGAAGCTGGGTTTGTAGCTGATACAAACTAAATCATCTCCTCCTATGCAGATATCTTTATAGGCTATAGAGATTATAGAGATAAAAACGATGATTTGACACTGAAAATGCCAAGACGTAATCATGCTGCCCCTAAGTACAACATATGCATATTGCATTAGCTAATTGATAAATCATCAAAACCATTAAAGTGAGAATTTGATGGGATAAAATACTGAATATGAATTCTGAGCAAAACTCACCAGCTGCTCAGAATAAAACACTTTCCAAGGAGTCCTTGATGCATGATAAAATTCTGCACTCAGTACAGTATAGCACTATTTATGGTTAAACATTTATCATCAAATCTAGAGTTAAGTAGATTTTATTCATAACTCTCAGTACCTGAAGGCGTTATATTCTTCAAGTCTTCTTCCTAGACCTTAATGCCCTTTTTAGACATGGGATACTTAACATTGCTGGCTTCATATTTCTGTCGAGTGATGGTTTTGAACATTTGTATGGGTTGGTGTGATGTGACACAACTATTAACAACTATTTGTGTCATAGTATATAGTAGTTTATTAAACAGATTTGTTGTGCAGGCTTCATGTTGAGCTGCAGTAGCCTTTACGTTAATATGGCAGCATTCAATACAACCATGTGTAGGTTGAAAGTGTCTACATGAGAAATGAAAATTTGCCCTTACATTTACCAAAGCCTTCAGATGTTATGACCTGTTTTGCTGCCATACAGTCATCATTTATGTACACAGTATCGAAAAGTGTTCTCACCTTATAGAGGGTGAATGTGCGTACACTGTACGTAGCCAGCTCCACAGTGTCCAGCATGGTCACCTGGATCATCCCATATGTCTCTGTGCCTCGACTGGGCCAGTACTGGTCACATTTTACCTGCATGCAGACACACAGTGTTGTTGTTAAAGTTATGGAACAGAAAGAGGACAAATAGGGTTCCTGTCAGATGGGAAAAAGGAACACAAGATAGCATCGGAGGCTAAAATGTGGGCTTCAGATTTATCAACCGAAGACTCTGAGGTGAAAATCTTTATATGACAACCAGGTCAGAAAATGTAGTCATTAAGATATTAGAGGAGTAAAACGTTCAAAAATGATGCAGCAGAACTGATTCTTATTTCTTGTCAGAACCTGGCACCTACATTAGCCACAAGGCAACTCAGCTGCTGACGGTTTGAACTGAGATGTGGATGGTATGCTAAGAGCAGCTAACGTGGCCTGGAGCCTGCAGCAGAGTTGAGAAGTGGGTTACAGTGGTCTGCTAAACTCATTTTATTCTTACTCCACACATCTATCATTTTTCATTTCCAAATGTGTATTCTTCAGCCCTATCAACAACATCACTTTTAATTACCAGACTTCACACAGCTACCTCTGGTGAGACCCTTTTCTTGTTTCACTTAATTCTTAAACTTACCATTTTTTATATTTGGAATGCGTAATAAATATTTTATTTGTATTTTGTATTAATATGTGCCTACCACTTACTAATTTATTTTCTCTTTATCAGTATCTTTGCTGTAACAATGTAAATGTCCCCTCTGTGGGACTAATAAAGGAAAAATGAATTCTGATTCATACTTAGCATTTGTTTTTCAAAACACCTGAAAACGAACTTTAATATGTAAAGTGTGTGTTGTTTCCCTTTAAATAAGAAGTCAAGCTGAGCTGTTAAGTGGAGTGTGTTTGCTGCCGGGGGTGTAAAGTGCGCTTTTAGGGCTTTTCTTTTGAAACAGCTGTCTGCTGCTGCTTCACAGATAAAATCACTAATAGTATTCACTGTGCTCTTTTGGCTTTCCCAAAGTGTGAGTAAAAGCAATATCATAAAAATACAACAAGTACAAGTCACAGATAAACTCAGAGCATTGTGATGCAATGCAAAAGGAACGTTAAGTGAGACAGAAGTCAAACAGGGTAATTCAGATTTATAAAGCTTAGTCATGAAACAAATGGGTGCCATCAGCGTATCCTCTTTTAGTGTTGCTGTTTTTTTCCACCATTGGCTTTCGAACGGGCGGATGCTGAGGATAACGGGAGGTGAAGCAACATACATTTGGACATCAGGCCGCAGGAGCTTGGCAAAACAGATGGGGGTGTTACGCTTCATCGACCTGGGTGCAGGTGTCAGTGGGGGGGGGCGAGGTAGTTTGGCGAGGCCTTCGGTCGATCACCGTGCAGCATGGCCTTTGGTCAGAGTGGTGTGAAGAGTTTACCACCTGGGCAAATCACACACGGCTCATTAAAGGCTTCAGGGTAACAGAAAGGTAACTACAGATCTGAGAGACTGCCCTCGCCAGAACAGAAGCATCAGTCATCTGTTGGCCCAGGTCAAATTTGTTTCCTCCTCAGTTCGTTTCTAGTTCTGTGCTGGTGGCAAGTTTGGCTTGCAGTTGGTTCAACATGCGCAACAGTTATGTTTTCTACTGCCCAGAGCCCAAGTGGTGCCACATCATGACATCACAGTTTACTTAAATATAATAACAAACAACTCTACGCTGTGCTTCTGTTGCTTTTATTCTTAAGATTCCAGGTGTAATTGATGTGTGACTTCTCAAACGTTATACTCTTCTCCGGATTGCCGGGGTTACTTGTTTGTCACCATGGTTCAGTGGCTTTTGCCTTCCGCTTCTCACCCAATCAAACGTCCCTGCTCCGAACCGGCCCTGGAACTGCTTTGGTGGAATAGGGGTACCTCTTGTATTCAGGTGAATAATGTCTCTCCTTTGTCTGATGATTGCTAGTGTTTCCTCTTGTGATGTTATAGTGCTGCGAAATCTGCTTGAGAAAACTTTTGTGGTGTATGAAGTGTGTGCCAAGTTTCACATCCTGTGTCCTCCGAAAAAATTAGATGTACAAGTTAAGACTTTGTTCTTAACAGAAGCAGAAACAATGGAAAAAACTGTTGTATCAGCAGCAGCTGCTACCGTGGCCACTAATGTAGATCTACACCTCGCGTTGAACCACAGACGGGCGTTAAGGTTCCAGCAGAGGGCTGATGTTCTCGGTCACTAATAATAATGCCACACTACAGGGGCCATCAGTTCTGCTCCTTGGTTATGGAGTTAATAAGATTGTAATAGCCGGCTGAAAGCTAACTCATCTGCAATGCGATACGCTGTGAAAGACTCATGTCCCCCAGCAGGGCGATGCTGCAGCAGAGCCAGGTAAACCTGCACCACCACCACTGTAGAAATACTTGAACAGCCCTTATTTAAATCATTAGCTTGTTTCAGTTGTAAAAGCGTCAAAAGCAGAATCTAAATATGGAGTTTTTTATCTTTGCTGCAACTTTGAAAAATATTGCTCAAAATTAAGATCCACCTCTTTGCGACGCTGACATTGGGCCCTACCCAGTAACACCAGTAATGGCCCCATCCCTGTGATAACAACAAGCTGAAACCACTAAAAAATTGGGCCCCACCCCCTTTGGGTAGCATGACACAATCTTTATGATGGAAACACATCCTGCATCATAAATCCCAAACAAGCCTGGCTCTTTGCTATGGCTCCACCCTGCACCTAACTAAAGTAGTTCAGTGGGGTCTGAGTTTGTGTGACTTCTGTTTCTATTAAAAGAAGGTGGGTGAAATGGACGACTGTGTAATCACAGCATAATGATGATTATTTCTAGGAGAAACTGAGCTCGCTTTATATATTAATGTAATTACATGAGCACTTTGGACCTGCTCTTTAAAAAATGGTCTGTAGAAAAACACTGCCGTTGTCATCAGAGTGCAAACTATTTCCCAACAAAAGTGGCTCACCCGAGACTTCTCCTCTAGACGGGTCATCATAATGATGGTGCAGGTCCTCTGCTCCCACACCATCCTCCAGAAGTCACTCAGTGTCTCTGGCAGTGGCCCCTGTGTGGCAATGTAAGCATTCTGCTTCCTGTAGCCATCGATGTAGTTAGCGTTGATGTAGTCGCTGCCTGAAACTCCTGCAATGAGGACAAAGTTAGACAAAGTTAGCAAGCAATTAGGAAACAGCAGGGCTCAATATGTGATGAAATACATATAAGGGACTTAAAGAGGCTCTATTATGATTTGTGGGGGTTTCCCTTTGATGTAGTGTGTTATAGGTTTGTGTGCATGTAAATGGTCTGCAAAGGCTAAAATCCCAAAGTTCCCTCCAGAGGGACTTTCTCTCCCACACACTACCCCCTAACTGAAATAGTGACATTGCTATCTAATACTCCAGCTTCTTTTGGCCAGCGCTCCAACACATTGTACATGGTTTAAGAGGCGGGACATCTCTGAGTGGTTGGCCAATCACAACAGAGCCAGCTAATCATTCAGAGCGGACTGGGCTCTGGTTTCAGACAGAGGGTGAAAAAAGGGTGCTGCAGCAAAGATAGTATGAGAAAAATTAAGGCCTTTTTGAACATTAAAGTATGGAAACATGTCACCCAAAATACAAATATGAACCTGAAACGTGTGAAAAATTGGGCCCTTTTAAATAAATGCTTGATTTTTCTGCAGTTGAGGATAGGTCAAGCCACTATTTGAGAATTACTGCATGTAAAGTCGCCTCTCTTGAGATGTCTGGTGTGTCTCTCACCATCCACAGGTGTGAGGATGACCCTGGAGTGGTCGTAGGCAATCACATTAGCATAGCGGTTCTTTGGCTTGTTGACCTCCAGGTTGGAGTGCTCCCAGGTGAACTGCTGTCCTGGATCAATAGACTGACACACAGAGGAGGGGGAGAGTGGGAGACAGGGATATAAAAAGGTGAGATCAGGTAACCATCTATAACAAAAAGTGCTTGTATTCTTTTCTGTTTTTTAAAGCCTGTCAGGGCTTCAAGCAAAGAGTCCAGACCAATAAATGTGACACAGAAACTAATTTGTCATCCCTCCCTCAGTCTGCGGCTCTATTATATGAAAAGCCCAGGATGATATTTAAGCCCCCCTGGATACACACTGGAGTGTTTGGACACTCCAAAAATCATTTTAAGCCCTTTACCTAGCAGCTCAGTGCCTGGTGTTAACAACGAACAGATCCAGTGATGAAGGGAAAGCACTGGTATTGGACCTAAGTTTCCCTTTGATAGTTGAAAAACAAGCGTTATATCAAGAGATTTTATTGCAAGAAAGTGAAAACTCAGTCAAGTAGAGTGCCTCACTGCATGAAAACAAGGACTGGCACATTTTGAAGCACTCTTATGGAAAGATCAGCTGTGGAGAGGCAGAGAGCGTGACATTTGTTTTGGTCCACATGTGGGCATGTCTGCGGGCGCTGAGGTAGATCTCATGATCTAATTTTCCATCAACATTGATGCATATGATTCTGTTTGTGCAGGTGTTGGCGATGAGAGCAGAGGGAAAGGCAAGAAGTAAGTTGTCTAGTGGAAGTTAATATACAATGCTTTGTGAAAGTATTCACCCCCCTTGGCGTTTAGTTCCATTTTATTGCAATAAAAACTGCAATATAAACCTATTTTTATTCAGACTGTGTAATGACCCTCAGAAAAATTGTCCAAATTGTTAAAGCAAAAAAGAAGAAGCTCAATTTAAAAAAAATCGAATAAAATAAAAACTGAAAAGGAGTGTTTGCAATCTAATTGTCACATTATCTCTGATATAAGGTACACTATACTCTTGTTCTGAGAGTCCCCAGTCTGCCACAACACTAAGCAAGAGGCACCACCAGCAAAACAACTGCACTATGAAGACTAAGGAGCTCTCCAAACAGGTCAAAGAACACAACACCTCTCATCACCCAAAGAACTCCCTCTCCACAGTGAAGCATGGTGGGGGCAGAATCATGTTGTGGGGGGGTTTATCAATGGCAGGGATTGGGAAACTGGTCAGGGTTGAAGGAATGATGAATGGTGCTAAATAGAGGAAGATTCCTGAGGAACATTTGTTTCAGTCTTCCAGCAGGACAATGACCCAAAGCATACTGCTAAAGCAACACTCAAGTGGTTGAAGGGGAAATATCTTAGGGTCTTGGAATAGCCTAGTCAAAGCCGAGCCCTAAATCCAATTCAGAATCTGTAGTATGACTTAAAGATTGCTGTACACCAGCAAAACTCATCCAACTTGAAGCAGCTGGAGCAGTTTGAAACATGGGAAATTGGATAGATGTGCCAAGCATATAGCGACATACTGCAATAGACTAGCAGCATTTAAAGGTATCTCTATACAATCTTGACTTTTGGGGAATGAATACTTATGCGTGCTCAATTTTATTTATCTTATTATTATTTCGTTTTTGTTTCAGTATGATAAATATTCTGCATGTTAAAAGTGGTAGGCATGTTGTATACATCACATAATACAATAGCTTCAACATCGACTTATATTGCAGGTTTTAATGCAATACAATGGGAAAAACACAAAGGGGTGTGAACACTTTTGCAATGGACTGTACAAAGTAGGTTACAGTATGCCAATGTATAAACATTACAACAACAAAAATAAATCTAAATACCCACGAGGTACCTGTGTTTTGCTTCCCAGCTGCTGGGCAAAAGGGAAGGCAGAAACCTCCCTGGTTGCAAAATATTTAAATATATTTATTCAGCAGACACCTGGAAGAGATCTGCACTCTACTGCATTTTTAGTTCCTTTACCTTTTATTATATTCTCCTCACACTTGTTAACAACAGACATCTTAAAATGCACAAGTTCTAATTTTTATGTGACTGTTTATATTTTCAAACAAAGAAACATGACATAGATGGCAAAAGATGCTTCTCTAGTCATTTCTACTTATTCATTTGTTCTCTTATGAAATAAATCATTGCTATGATGGAGAACCATTCCTGCATTCGGGTTATGGTGGAGCGTGTCGAGAAATAATCTTGACAGGTTTTCACTATGCTGCCTGATGATTGGTCTCCATCGATCGCTGGCTGTGAATGCAGGCGCAGGTTTAGCTGAATAATGACATGCTGAATATTGTTATTCATGATTGACCTTTCACGCTTCTACTTATCTGGCAGCAACTGGAAAACAAACACACGCCTGTATACCCGCACACACATGCACAGGCAAAATGAAGCTGCAACGAGCACTATAATATCCTGCTGCTTTTCCCCTCGACTGGCTAGACGCGGCTGCTGAGCCCCCCCCCCCAGTCTACAACTGATAATAATGACAATGGAGAAAGAGGTTGAATGCACATCTTATTTTACAGCCTGTTAGGTAAGGCTTCCACCACGCTGCACTGACAAACCACTCACATTACTTCTAATGTGCTCCACCGACATGTATATCACTTACAGAGTATGTCAGTGTAATCACACTCACGGTGCTGCGGTTCCAACAGCAAAAACAAAGCAGATAAACACATAGAGGATTTCAAATGGACAAGCTCTGGTCACCAATCTGGGGGTCGGTGGTTCAATTCCCAGCCCCTCAGTCACTGTGTGTAAGTATACTGGGCAAGATAGGTATAAACCACAAACTGCCTCTGATGGCACGGCCACTTTATTTCATTAATGTAGTCCTGACTATTGTGTTAACATTATCCATATGTAATACCTTTACATTGTCTGTCTTCAAAACTGGCTATGCAATAATTATAATGGCTAATGTGATCATATTAAAAGTGTCATACCCAGACCTATTCGCACAGTAATGTATGGTACAGGGAAAAAAACTTTCTGGCTTGTTTGTATTTCTTTTAACCAATCATGATCTCTTTGGGCTATATAAAGACCGTATGCAGCAACAAAAGAGATAGCAGAGATAGCGGAAAGGGAGGAGAATTCAGAACACATTTGATGGGGCCAATGGCAGGCTTATCCCAGGATAGTACAGCTGTCGTGTCTGACTAAGATGCATTCAACTAAAATCCCTATTTTTAAAAGGTGCTACATTTTAAATTCAGAGCATATCTATTATTAAGGGATAGCCTTTGCACTACTCTCAAGATGCGGGCAGCTAGTTGCTAACGTTGCTAACAGCTCCAGAGGTGCAAACAACAACAGCAGTGCTGACAGAGCAACCTGAGGGGGAACTGGAGGGGGGGATTTATCTTTACTCATCTTACTATATACTATACAGACATTACTACACAGTGGAACATTGTGTTGGCTTGTTTGTTTTATTTTGGTTTAATTGAACAAAGTTGCAAAACCCCCTGTTGTTACACACAGCAGCACTCCTGAATCACATTGAAAGTCACTTCAGCACAGCGACAGTTTAGCAACACTTTGGAAAGTATTAAGGATGATATTGCCATGTCACTCCTGTTGTTAGTACACAATAATTTCCAATTAGAGGAGTCTGTATGTTTTTTTGTGAAATATGAGTGAATATGGTATGAGTTTACTATGTTTGTGTATCAAGGCATTGAGTTGCACACATGAGAATGACATAGCTGTGACATGTTGAACTACATTACTGGGTATTTCCCCCTCCATTAACACAGAATAAAGTAATTATTGCGGCAAGCCTCACTTCAATGCTGCCTAGTGTGTTTTAAGTGTTAAGAAGCCCTGCTGTTCACTTGATAAGGGTAAAAAAAGACGTTATCCTTATCACGCAGAGAATTACCATTATAGAGGCCATATACTGTACATGAAGTTGTCTCCACTCCTCAAAAAGACCCTTTCCTCAGATATAACAAGCTGTAAGATCCTCCTGCAGATCTCCTTTTAAACACAGCCATTATAAGCTCTTCATTTCAAGCCCTGCCGATCTTACTAATGGCTGGTGGCTCTAATGCAACAGGAATTGGCTGATATACAGTATCATGTGTATATCCCAAATAGGTCATTTGTTTCATCTGATTATTCCTATTTATTTATTCCTATTTTTCTGTCAATCAAGGCTCCCCAAAGTATAACAAACCGTTTTGAATGGTATCTTGTTCGTCAGACACCACAACCTGCCTGAACAAAGTTTGTACCAGGACAAAAAGGGTAAAAAAGTTGAGTCAGCTGCTGTTTCATAATTGATATGCCCCTTTCCTTCTGGGGCATAAACATTGCACTCATCTGTCCTGGTTTATCCGCTTGAAAATTCACCACTTTAAATGCAAATTACCTTCCTTTGTAGGACATCAACAATCCATAATCCCTCACTGGCTTTTACAGTAGGTAAAAGCAGTAGGATATTATTCTTGGAAAGGAGGCAGAGATTTATGCATACTTAGCAGTATGAACTGTATTTCTTTTTTACACCAATGCTGAACCGGTAAGCCAGCTAGACTTAAGAGTAAAGAACACATCCGAGACAAATGTGGCCGGAAAAAATGTACTTATCTGAGAAAAAGATTGTACTTATGGGTTGTATGGGTATTGGAAAACATTAATTTCATCCTAAGCATTACTGAAACAAAAAACATTTTCCAACACAGGAAATACAAGTTTTTTCTAACAATGATATGGCACATTTATAGTCGCATCATGGAATTGGCCTTAATTATGTTCACACCAGAAAGGGACCTCTTTAGAGTTCACTTGAAAACTTGAGACCACCATAGAACTTTGTTTGGTCTTCACCAACGGAGGGAATGCTCCATGTAATACAGTGCATAACTTGTTGGTTAAACATATAAACAACTCAGAAGTGTACCATTTCACTATAAATTCTACATACTATCTAAATTGTTGCCGAAAAAATTACAAATACACTGAATATGGCTTAAAAGTAGGGGTGTAACAATATATCGAGTCTCCTGATAAGATAAATATCTCGGTAATGCTGGGAGACTGTGATGATGTTACATGGTTGTTTAGAGCTGCTTTCTACTATCTCTCATTGTCAAAAGCTGTGTTGTTTAAAAAGCAGAGATCGCAATCATACAGCTACATTTATCTCGCTCCAAGCTGTGGAAGAGCCAGCTGACGGCCAACTGACAGCTGACTCCCTGAGAAATCCAAGACTCTGGTACTATGTTTTCTGACAGAGCGTGTCTAGATTCCAGTGTTACGACGCCTACTCATGTTATTGCAAGGTTTCACCATGAGCGGGCGCTTCTTTCGTAAAAACACCGTCTTTGTTTATGCCATGGTTCAAACAACATGCTTCCTAGACATACATTAGTTGGTATAACATAATAGTTCTTATTGATTTATATGTAAACCCTGATCTTCAGTGGTGAAATGTAAGTTCACCATTTGCACTCCTAGATGCACTTCTAGTCAATAAGACAGATTACAGTCATCCTTTGCGTGCAAGCCAATTGCTCCCCAATGCTTTTCTTAGCAAGACCCACCAAGCCTAGCATTCAAGCTAGGATTGCTCATCACGTCATGGCACATTTATTTTATTAAAGAGAAAAGTAGAAGCACTTTAGGTTAAAACGAAAAACATATTCTTTACAATTGAAAATGCCATAATTTTTTTTAAACCTCATTAATTTGGTATTGTTAACATTTTAACTTCCTTCCCCGACATCTCGGTATTGTTACATCCTGACTGAAAAGTGTATTGCTTCAGTGGAAAGTCATGTATAAAGCAGAAAGTTACCTCGTACTCCTGAGAGAAGCGCAGACCGTCATTGGCCTTGAGTCTCTCGATGTAGTCTGCCAGGTCAGAGATAGGAATGGACGGATGTTCCCTCATCCCTGCAGCGAGAGGACCAGTGGTAAGTATAGTTGATTTCTCACACACAAACACACATATATGGAGTGACAGTGAGAGTGCTGTGTGGTGTGCAGAGGCATCATGTATGACTGTGAAGCTTTTCAACATCATGCCACAAACCACACTGGCAAAGTGAGCGTTAAGGAGCATGCTGATTGGTTAAAGAAACACCATAAGGCAATAGGTGGGTGGGAAGGTGATAAACAGGCGGCAAGGGTGTAAACTACCCACAGTATCTTACACTGATTATTTTTGTGTTTTGTATCTCAGTTTGAATGACTGACATGAATAGACCATGAGAGTGTGAGCGAATAGGTGATGTATAAAGGGAAGGAGGGGGGAATAGGAGAAAACATTAATAAAACACAAGAGGGGTGAAAACTAACTTGGAGTTTTCGGGCAACTGAGGGCACTTGAACCTGTGGGGGAAAGACGAGGCAAAACAAACAGAACAGGGGTCAGTTAGGAGGAGACAGAGAAAAGAAAGAATCATGGGAAAGGAACACAAGGAGCACTGGGGAGCTGTATGTCTGGTTGTTTTTTGCACTGTCTTGCAGTTTGATGTGTCAATCAAATGTCCTTAAATATTCATTGCTTCCTAACGTATGAAGTGACTTTTAGCCATTTAGTCACCAGTTATTTAGTTTGTGAATTCACCACGTTTCTGTATGGTTACATACGTTTGCCCAACCAACACAAGAAAACGCATCATGTTGCAGATTCTCAAACACACCAACAAGTACTTGTCCAGTAGGTCAAACTGTTGCTGTCGTTGCAGTCAATACGTAAGAATAACTCCCTGAAAAAACAAAACTTTAATCTTAATCCAGATTAATTCGAGAAACATCTTCTCAATAGCTGAGGCACTTTCCCACCATAAAAGCAACATCAGTTGAGGATACAGGATCCGGGAAAGGACATTTACTTTAAAATGGTCTGAACATGAATGTAAAAGAAAGACCAAACCAGCCCTACAAAATCCCACAAAAACAGACTTTCAGAGGTGAGCCAGATAGACGGACAACTTAATTCCCAGATAAACAAAGACTGATCTAGAACACTTAAACAATAAATCCTCAACAAAATTAGTTTTGGGATTGTCATCTCCTTAGATGTATTAAAAGATATCCTTTATCCAGCTGTATAACTAAACCGTCAACACTAAAAGATAGTAGGGGTTAACTAATCAGGGGAGGACTGAAACAGAGAATAATTCTAATCATAACAAGCAACGTTATGCCTTGTGTGCCCTACAGATCTAATGCTTACTTAAAGAGATGCCATAAATCATCCTGAAATGATAGTGGTGATGAATCAGAAAAACAATTATATGAGTTGTTATAGAGGCAAACTACACATTTTGTTTTATAATTTGGAGGAATTGTGGCTGTGTCTGGAATTTGCAATAGTTTGTAATTGCAAAATGGTTACCGTATTTTGAATTCATCTATAATAATATAATAAGAAAAGCACATTAATTTTAAGCCAATATTAATGTATGACAAGCACTTTTTTTGTCCTGATTTAGGAACCTTTGCACTTACCGTAAGGCTAGGGGCGAGCTTTGGTCAATGATATTTCCTATGTTTAATGAATGGTCTGATTTAATGTTTTATAATTATCATTACCACAGCCTTGCAACAGCTAATGACAACCATATTTACTGTGAAATTACCAGAATAATTGGAGTTATTAAATAGCCATTTAAAAGTTTGATACAACCTGAATACACCCCCTTGACATATTTAAAAAATGCTAACAAATTCAGAGCAATCTTCAGTAAACCCACTGTTCTTACTGACATCCAGTTATGGGTGATGTTCAGAAGTAATGTTCCAGAAGATACCTTTAGCAACCATGTTATTTTTGTGTCAGATTCAAACGCCTATCACTAAATGTTGGTTGCTTGTAGCATTTTTATTCAATACAGTTTAAAAATAAATGCCCATTTATAATGATTTTTTAATTATACTACAGTTGCTACATCACATATTGTACATCTGCTTTCAGGCATGACTGGCTTAGCATGAATACATGTAAGTTGGGTGCTGTGGACAGTTGTTTGTGTGTTGTGTGTGTGTGTGTGTGTGTGTGTGTGTGTGTGTGTGTGTGTGTGTGTGTGTGTGTGTGTGTGTGTGTGTGTGTGTCTGTCTGTGTGTGTCTGTGTGTGTGTGTTGATGCCTTGTGTCTGATAGTTGAGTCTCCTCATCTCCACAGGGTCTGAGGAGTGGGCCAGCAGAGAGTCCTTGACGCCTGCCATGTGCTCATCCTTGGCTGGACATGTTCGTTTCCTAGGGGAATGAAGAAGTGGTGAAATAAGAGAAGGTAACCAAGTTAGAACAGGCCACAATAACTCAACCATATCTCAAACAGGTTAGAACTTTCAAATGAAAATGTATTTGAAATCAAGTAGAAAATAATGCTCAAAATTAGGGAATGACAGTAGGTGATAATGGGAGGCAGTCTAGTTAGTTCTAACTATTGAAATTTGGAGAAAACAATCGGCTGAAACACTTTTGAGAGTAATTTTTATACACCAGACTTTTTAAAAATATGGATTCTAAACAGATGGCTGTCTATCTTTGATGGACATTGGGCATTATAAATATAAAAAATTGATTTCACAAGGTTCTTCAAAATGTTTTTCTTCAAATAATCTGTGTATTATATTTATATTTGGTCACAGCCCTACTGTGGGAAATAACAAAGGTTATTATTAACCACAATCAAGATCACCTTAATTCATACATTATTTACAAACCATGTAAAAAAAAAAAGGGTAATAATGACTTTTTGTCTTATTGTAATAAGACTAGTAGTCTTTTTGCACATAAAAAACAACTAATTGAAATTAATGAAATTAAATTTAATCAGTTATTTTAAAAAATAACTGTGGAACGATTTTAAGTAAAAAATAAGCTAGTATCATGAGCAAAAATTACAGAAATAAAAATGATGTGAGAAATGAAAGGGGTTGAAGAATGGATCCCTGTGGGGCGCCATTAGCAGGAGCCATTTAGATTCATAAATTTACAAGAAAATATAGTTTGTGATTAATTATGTATTTGGACGCCATGTGTAAGTCAACCAATTGATACCATAAGTGAAATTTTAATACGAAAATACTATTTATATAGCTTAATATGAATGAAAATAAAAAATATCCCAAGTGCGTAGAATGTTTTTTCCCCGAAATTGATACTTGTGTCAATGTGAAATGAGCTGCACCTGAAGATGCCTGAATACTTAATATAAACCAACCTTTTAAGTATTTTTGTAAAGCATGGAAGAAGTGATCTCTGACCCCTAAAATAAAAAAAGAGGGACAACGAATATGAATAATTTATAACTTAGAAGTAATAAGTAAGTTGCAGCTAAATCTTCTTACATTTCCAATTCACAAGACATTGTATGAGTTTTACTTAATGGAGCTGTGGATACTGATTAATGGGTGCTGTGTACTGTGAGTATGCATGGGTAGAGCGTGCTTAGGAACCATATATATTAGAAAAAGGGCAGGCTGGGTCACTGATGCTGAAAAGATCTTGATGGAATTCATGTAAAACTGATTTCTTCCCGCTGTTGGGAGACCTTCCATCTTGAGTGAAATCAGTAATAGAAAGCAATGAATGTCACAGTATGTTAGAACAAGCTGCCAGTCATGTTTAATGTCCAGTGCCTAAATCTTAATTTGCCCAATATGTGTGAAACAAACAGGCTGAGTAATCAGTACAGCAGCGTGGCGTCGACAGATTTGGCTAATGGTGACGAAGCTGAGTGCATGTATTTCTGCATGCTACAAACGTGCAAGCCCCTTGTCAAATGTGACTTATCAGTGTCTTTGTGCTTGAACTAACTGCTGATGTGCATACTGATGTAACTCTTTACATCAACTGAAAGCTTTATTACAGAATATTACGTGGAAAAGTTAGGGGGATGTTCAATGTCGAATGATTATTTTACATGATCTCTTATTTTCAATATTGTATGTTCTCTTGTATGTGCAAACCAGTCATCTACTTTCATTTCGGATGTTAGATTTTTGTTGGAATTCTTTTTAAGTAAAAATGTTACCAGCATTATTTACCAATAGAAAAATTGTGAAGAGCAACTTGCCCCTTAATCTATGCAAATGACATTTTGAGCCTTTATCACATTTAAAAGAAGTAGTCCACTATTCCAAAAATGTAATTGTATGACATTTTAGACAATGGTATTTTCAAAAGATTCAATTACAATACAACACCTAGTTATAAGACCAATACAACTAGTGTCTGTGTTGACTGAAAGTAAAATACATACTCACAGGCTCTGAAACGGTTATTAATGAATCAAATCAGGTAAAGAATGTATTGATCAGGACCTAACTGAACCAAAAAATAGTTAAACATTTTGGGATATGTGCTCATTTTAGATCAGTTAAATATATGGCTATGTCTGTGTGTTCAGAACAGAGTCAAGATGTGGTTGTCTGTCCAAAGCCTGTCTAAAACTCAATCATTATGAAACCAAACTAAGAAATAAGTGTTGACACTGTAAACTCCTAGCTTACTACTTCTTCTCTAATGCTTATACTTTTTCCATATTCCAACACTGTTGACGATTTCAAGCACAGGCTTATTTTGAAGTGAAATCACATTAAGTATTTGAGTATTTAATATCTGTGCTGTGAATAAAGGTAACGCATATTTTTAAGACATATAGCAGCAAACAAATGCATTACTGTATATATTCATGCATCAGAATACTAAAGTTGTAACTTTCAGGCCAGATAAATTCAATATGTTGCCTTTCTTCTTTCAATCAATTCCCATTAGCTACCTACATGTATGATAAGAGAAACTATGTTAAACTAAATCCTCTTCAATAGGCAAAGGAAACAAGTTAAAATAAAAGTTCTGAAATAAACTAAATCTGTAAATGGATTGGCTCCCCCTAATTAGCAAAATGAGTATATACTGTAGCTGTGTGGATATTATTTGCAGTCAGGCGTCAGTTTTATTTGGAGGATGATATGTTGTTGAGAGAAATAAAAACACAAAGTAAAGTAGTAGTACAAAAAACATGCCTTTATGAACGAGAATCATAAAATAATTCAGATATGCCTCCAAAAAGAATATGATGGAAAATGTATGAGGCATGATAGTTTGAAGAAGTTAAATTAAATCTGCAATCACACCAAAGATCTTCAAACAAGAAGCTATGCACATTAGTGAAGCCGTTTAAGATCAGACAAAGGCACCAACCTTTCTTGTTTGCTGCATCCACAGAATCAAGCAACAAGTGGAAAAGAGAGCAGAGTAAGAAATGATTAATTTAAAAGCTGTCAGCAGCAGGAATGCCACAACACAGTGTCACCGTGCACAGGAAGTGCACCTGACAGAGCACGTAACAGCACCTGTTTATTACTTCCACTATTTATCTGATCCACAGCCACTGAGCAGCATACATCTTCTTTTATCGCTGTTTAGAATGATATGGTCAGTAAGACATATTAGCTGTTGGTGGTCACTTCCTGCTCTCCCATGAATTCTACTCATCTCAACAATACTCGCAGGGACATTTTAAACCCCCTTTTAGCATGAATATGTCCCTGTCACATATATCAAAAAAGATTTCCTGCCCTGCAGTTTGTCCGTCCAACATTAACTCGTAGTTTGTGATATTGGGCTATATTGGTCACACACAACCACATTTTAGGGCCACGAAACCTGTTCAAATGACACGAAAGGTAAATGTTTAATTTTCAAAGCATCAGCAAAAGATCAAATGCACAGTGTCTGCTCAAACTACTTTATTTAGGGAAGCAGTCACTGTTGACACAGAGAAAGGATCCATTGTGTGTCAAAAGTAAATAAAGAAAGATCCCATTAAATATATTTTGAAAAAAACGAGATCTAAATAACAAAGAGTTTACGTAGTAAATTATTTATCTTGACTGACTTTTTATTTTTGCTGTGGCGGAATTGCTGCATGTAGGCCTACTTATTCAAATCAAAACATTTCTCAAGGTACTCTTAAAATAGGAGAATGTAAGAAAAAATATGTTCTCAGAATGATATATTTTTCCGTACCACTTTACAATAAGACTACCCTTATAAAAGGATTGGGTTTATAATTAGGTTATGAATTAGGTTGTAAACACTTTATTTATCATTAAGAACCATTTATAAACCAGTTCTAACATAGTTTTCATACATCAACACAAGCTCACTATTTGGCAAGATGACTAAGCCTTATATTGGCTACTTAGTGAATCAACTCGGTGAACAGCATATACCAAGGATGCTGGCTGAGGAAGAAGACAAAGTAAGCTAGGTAGCCAATATAAGACTTAGCAGTACATATAAATGTGTGCTCACTATTCGGCAAGCAACCGGTCACAGTTGCCCTGTTTATCTCATGTCTTACAAAAGCTTATTAATGATTTTTAAAGTTTTCACAACTTATTTAATAAATTAATTACAAACTATTCGTAAACCCTTTATAAGGGTAGTCTTATTGTAGAGTGGTACCTATTTTTTTTATCAACCTGCATTTTATGTGTGCTCTAGGGAAAAGAGGTACACTCAACATCATTGTACAGAGTTTAGGTTTGCATACAACAAAATGCAGTTTTACATTTTAAGTTAGCTATCTAGAGTTTGCATCTATACTGCTACGGGATTGGCTAATTGCGTCAAATGAATAAAGACTGATTGGGTAGACTGTAAGATATAGAATGTAAAGCACTTTTTCAGCAGACTACTCATCCTTCTGATTTCAGACTTAACAGTTTTTAAATCAAAAGCAACAGTGTTTGATATTCCTTTTGATGGGTCGACTCAACTATTTTGGCAAAGTGTACAAGGAGTACCGTAGATGGAAAGCACTGGCTGTTTAGAAAGTAGGAAAAACCACATTCAACAATTTCAAATACTATGATATATTTAAGAATATGTTGGCAGTAATGTATGAAATAGGTTCATCAGCAATTTTTTTAGGGACGAGCTTGTGTTAATAATAGAGCTGTTTTCCTCACTGAGTACAGTACAGATGAATGTACAAATTCAGACACATCCCTAGATAATGAGCAATGGGAGGAATGGAAAAAGACAAAACATTGCCATTTGTAGCAAAGTAGGAGCCATATGGAGGCCCCGTCAGCGCATTGAGCAGTTCCAGATGTTTTATCCAAGCACAGGCAGCACGAGCCAACTGTTAGCCTGGAAGAGCGGCGCCGCGGGGCCAGCGTCTTCCTACCATCTGCCGCGGAGGGCCGGTGCCTTCAGGCTGCCATGGCCAAGACGAATGTCTGCCTCTACTCTGGGAAGTACTTCACATTGACCATTTCTTGGTGCCTCACTTTTGTCAAATGTTCTTGTCATCTGCTGTGCTGAAGAAAATGCTCAGGGTGTCTCTCCGGACTGTGCTGAAATGATCGCTCAGCTAGATGATACGAGGAGGAACACGAAGGACATGCACTGCCTTCGATACACAGACTAGCCCAGAGAGAGAAAATGAACATTTGTATTCTAATATTACTGTTAAATGGTATTTCCCTTACTAATAAGTGGGAGACCGCAACATTCTTAAATCTAATTGTTTATTATGGATGATAATTAAATCTATAATCTTTCAATAAAGAGGGTAGATATGATTCTTTAATCAAAAAATATATATTTTGCATTTAAAGCATATATTTATAAATTCAAACAAGCACATCTTACTGTGACTGGTTATCCTAATTTCCCATGATAATAGCAGTGCTCCAAAGACATTATAATACACTTAATGAATTTAAAACAATTAATACAAATATGATAAATAAAATATAGCAGAGGTATGAATACTAGCGTGTATTTGAGACTTTTTGAAATATTTTGTATGTATTCAATTGTAGTTTAAAAAAAATCTTTGTTCATTTTAAATGTTTGGAAATTAAATTAAATAATTCCTAAAAAAATGCTTTAGGTCAGTATAAATATATTTGGGTAATGGCTTATTATCGACTTTTAATTTGATATTTCGTAGATGAGTATTTGAGAAAAATATAACAAACTATACAGATGGACCACTGACAAAAATGTCAATCAGTGTCTGAGTACACCCGCCTGCAGGACAGCAGATAGCTTGCACATCTTCCGGCGCAGACTGAAAACTCATCTCTTTCGACTCCACTTCGATCGATAGAATTACTAACAAAGAATTACTAACAAAGCACTTATATATTAATAAAGGACTGGCTTATCTAAAGCCAGTTGAGTAGCACTTGAAATGTTTTAGCTCTATGAAACCTGATGTACTGATATGATTCTGTTTTCTTCAAGTTTGTATCTTGTTGGTCGAACGCACTTATTTGAAGTCGCATTGGATAAAAGCGTCAGCTAAATGCAATGTAATGTATGCAGCTTTGTCTCTCAGACTCACCTCTTGAAGAGTAGAATGGCAATGACTATGAGGATGATGAGGATGACTGCCAGCACCGGCCCCATCACCCACAGCATCTCCGGCTCCTCGGCGTGTCGGCTCATCCCGCTGTGGAGCTTCACCACGAAGGGCTCCGAGAACGGGCTGGCAGCAAAGGTCCTCTGCTGAGAGGAGGAGGACCAGAGGAGGACCAGAGGAGGACCAGAGTCAGTGACTTATACACAACAGCGAGTAGATTAAGAAATAATACACTGAGAATAACTATTGTACTCAATCTGTCTTACTACATGCCAAACTGATATAAGTTTTGCTAATAAAACACTTTTTCTTTTGTGAAATTAAGATAAAAAACATTTTTTAATTAATTAATCGCTGAAGGAGCAATTCAGCTCTCTCTCTGGTGTTATTACAGTCAATTACACCACACACAGGCCAGAAACACAAATGCACAAACACAGAGGTGTCAGAGCGAAGGGACTGGGGAGCAGTTTGGGGTTTGATGCATTGCTAAAAGGGCACTATTATGCTAATTTTCAGGTTCATATTTATATTTGATGTCTCTACTGTCTCCATGCTTAAATGTTCAAAAGCTCTTTATTGTTCACCCTTTGTCTGAAACCAGAGCCCAGTCTGCTCTGATTGGTTAGCTGGCCGGCTCTGTTGTGATAGAGATGTCGTGCCTATCACTTACAATGTGTTAGAAAGCTAGCCAATATAATCGCAAGTTTTCGATAGTTATGTCCCCCGAAAAGGCAGACAGGTGCCCCTTAAAGGACACCTCTGCACTTTCAATTATTAAGACAGAATAGAGAACCAAAAGAACGCTACACTATAAACGTTACTATTATAATTATTATGACATTATACTACCATCACTGTGCACTCACATATTTAGACTATTATGACATTTTGTAAAATAAATTGAGACAAGACCTGAACAGATCTAAATAGGTACCAAAATAAATCCTGAGTCGAAAAGAAAGAGCAAACTCCGGTTCTTATTTCATACTCTATAATATAATCAAGACATGGATGAACAATGAACAGCCAGTTCTAAATGCAATATCTGAATCTGTGTGAGTTCTTTGCTATATTTAAATATGTTGACAATATTGGTTGTGTGTTCAATGAGGCAGAATTATTTTGAGAGTTTAAGCTGCATATACACAAACATGTTGGTTGCAGTTGGGTTGGTGGGGGTATCAGAGGCAGGCTGCTGTGCTGGCTGCATTGGGAGTGCATGGCTCCTTATGGAGAGTCCCCTGTGGGGATCAAAGAAGCCCAGTGGAGTATCCACATCAGGGACATCTTTTGAGGACAAATCCAATAATACAAACACCTTCACTAGGCCTTCTGGACAGCTGTGCTGACCTGAGGCCTCCGTCAATGCCACCATTGGACCACATGGCAGCCTCACACTGCTGCCAGGAGACACACAATGTCTGAGAGCGTGCCAGGCTAAAGCAGGTTGAGCTCTATTAACTATTATCCATCTCTCAAGTAGAAAGTGTATCTTTAACCGAGTTTCACCAATTACATAGACCTTTCTAATGTTGTATATACTATATTGATGATTCCAGTTTATTGCGACAGTTGTCCGGTTTCTGTAGTTCTGTCAATCAGCTTTATCAGATGATACAATTGGACTTACAAAGTGAAAACTACTTGATCAGGTTAATTGAAGGATCAAAGTATGGGTCAAAATATGCACGCTATTTATGAAGGAACGTTGTGAAAATGTATGTTATCATATATGGGACATGAACAGCAGTCTCGAGGGGAAAAGTCCTATCAATCCGCCCCAACCTTAGAAAATGTTTTTGTGATATGACAGACGTCACCTGAGCAAAAGTGTCCTTGCCTCAAAATGTTATTTAAAAATAAACCTGTCAAAATGCTGCTATAATGCTTGGTGTAGCATTCACAAATACACTGATGCCTGACTCATTGTGGGCGTGCTGGCTTCATAATGCAGTGACAGAACATCACATCATTGTTGGAAGGAAAAATATAAGCCATCATTGAGCTACAAAGAAAACAATGTCTAAACAATGATTACTGAGTCGCAGTGCAAATTGGTAGAAGGTTGAATATTGGCAACATATCAAAATTAAATAGACGTTACATGGATCGATTTACAAGGCGTAATTCACTTTAAGTAAGTGTTGTGCTTGTCTCTTTATGTTCTGTGAGACAAGTGCAGAAAGTGGGACTGTGTTAGCGAATGAGACTATAAATATAGCTGTAAGCCTGACGGGGCTCTGATGCAGCTCCTCTGGGTGGAAGCTGTAAACACAACCCAACAACGCTGCTTGTTTGTCACCCCACCAATGGCCGTCCTTCCTTATTGATTTATTTAATTCCACACATTTGCAAACTCTTTTTTCATACAACATTCATTGTCAGAGCTTGTTATATCAGGGCTGACACTTACAAATGAATTGTACAAGACATTTGTGGCTTTACAAGATTTGTTAACATTTTTCATCTCATGGAATGCTGAATAAAAAATTAAACTCATCCAAATCTGCAAAAAAAATGCATTTGGAAGGTTGTTTTCTTTACTATCCAAATGGAATTCATTGTCATATTCCTTAGAGTTAGAGAAACCTCTTTCAGAATCATTTTTATATATATACTGTGTGTATAAAGGCTGGGCAAGTTAACACGTTGTTATTATTGCGTTAATGCATTAACGCCAACTTTTTAAAATGTAATCTTATATAATTATTTTGTATTATTAATGTTATTATTTTTTAAATAAATTACTGGCTCTGGGTACACATACAGACAAACTGTGTACTTTGAGAAATCGAATAACATTTAGTAAAAAGTTATATTATTAGAATAACCCATAGGATTTCAAGAAAACAATACTATTACATACCGTCCATTTCATAATATCTAAAATGTTACACTACAAGGGTAACACTTACATTTTTCAACATTTTGTTGTGTTACCAAAGGCAGCCCTGTTCTGCTGTGCAACAGTCTGTCGCTCTGTGGTCTGCTGATACAGTAGTGTCAATTCCAAACACACATCAGCAATTCAGGACTCTCTCTGGAAGAGGTAAGGTTAATAGTCCAGCAGCAAGTCCTCAAAAAAGGCTTTAGTTTCCGAGATACCCCTACCCGAGGTAGAACAAATGACAACAAATATTTTTCTTATCTTTAGGGTGTCCCATTAATGAAATTGATTATTGTCAAATTTTATTTGGGGGGAAAAAATGTTTTTCCCTGAAAAAGAGCCAAATTAGACCAGGCTGAATATGGGAAAGGTGACAAAAAAGCCCATAACTTGAGAGTGACCTCTTCAGATTTGCTGAGGTATGAACCAGGTGGCTGTCATACATCACTAAATAGTCAGACAATTATTTAACTAAAAAAATACTGAATTATAGTCCTGTAGACTTAGCTTTAGTTTAGACGAAAATTGTACTTTTTGGTGATAGGGACATCGGACTAATCACTTTTCTCTCATTTGTCAGAAAAACAGAAATCCCTAAAAAAATATACAATTATTGAATACTCTAGGGTGCTATTGAACACTAACCAGTAGTTGTATGGAAATATCTGGTACAGTTCTATTGCAAATGAGATTTCTTTAGACATAGACCTACCTCTTCTCTGATACAGTCACATTCCGAATGGGGGATAAGTGGCACAATAGCTTATAAGTTAAGAATGCTTATTCTGATGGTCATTATATTTGGAGAGGGAAATACCAGGTGGCTGAACTACATCACCAAATAGTCAGAATAAGAGTAACCCAATACAATAAAGTGTATTAGTTCTAAATTGCAAGCCTCTAAAACATAGGTGGAAATAGTACAGTTTTTATTGAAACTGGAACCTTAATTCAAAGTACAGTATACAAATCATCAAATCATTCTGTGAGACGTCAAGTATAGATACTAGAATATCATGTTAAATGTCAGGTTCCTCAGAAACGTTAGGGGACACATTTTGACATTCTGCACAGCAGGTGCAGAACTCCGTACAGGGAAGGCCAACAGAGAGGCACTGGCACTTTCCACTCTCTCCACACTTTGCATCTTTGCAATACAAGTGAGTAATGTCTCTCACTTCTGTAGGTGCTGGGGTTTTGTAAATAGCACTGGTTGAATGGCCCCATCTCTGACAATCCACCCCCTGCCAACAGGACTCCATAACAAGGGTTTGGGTTCGGGCTGTGACACCATATCGCTGTCTGAAACATTGCTCTTTACA